CTGGGCCGCAGGCGGCGCTAACCGTTGCGCCACCCGGGGGGGGGGTCCCCAGGGATTCACTTTTTTTTTTTAATTTTTTTTAATTTTTTTATTTATTTATGATAGTCACTGAGAGAGGCAGAGACACAGGCAGAGGGAGAAGCAGGCTCCATGCACCGGGAGCCCGACGTGGGATTCGATCCCAGGTCTCCAGGATCACGCCCTGGGCCAAGGGCAGGCGCCAAACCGCTGCGCCACCCAGGGATCCCAGGGATTCACTTTTTAAAGGATTTTTATTTTTTTCTCTCTTCCCCGCAGACTCCACACACGCCGGGTGTGACTCACCGACGTCCTCCGCCTCCTGCCCCGAGGCTCTGCGCTTGCACTCCGTGGCGTAGTGTTTCTGGATGACCGCCCACAGCTCGGCGTTGACCAGGGAATTCCTTCGGGTGTGGTACCGGGTCCACGAAGAGACCCGGCGGCGGCAGAACGGGCAGCACAGACTCGCCTTCTCCACAGTCGCCTGAAAGCACGGACTGCACAGCGTGTGGCCGCACGGCAGCGTGACGGGCTCGACGAGGATGTCCACGCAGATGCGGCACTGGCACTCCGACAGGGAGGGGACGGCGCGTCGGGCGGCCTCCATTTCCGGAAGCTAGCCGGGCACCCCCGCCATCGACCCCTGCAAGACAAAGGCGCTCGAGGCGGGCCCCACCGCGGCGGACGCCGCCCTGCAGCCGTGCAGCGTCCCGCCCGGCAGCCGGCGCCGCGGGATTCACACCCACGCCTGAGGCCGACCGCGGGCGCGCAGCCGCACGGAGCCGCCGGAGGAGCCAGGCTGCGGGGTCACCACAGCCGCGGCGGCGAGGCGGGCGGGACGCGCCGAAGGCCCCGCCTCCCCCTCACCCGCCGTGCGCCCGGTTGGCTCGCGGCGGCCGCGCCCCAGGCCGCGCAGGCGGGAAGCGCGGCGGCAGCACTTCCGTCTTACCGTGGTCGCAGGCGCACCCCGCGAGCCCCCCGTTCGGGCTTCCGCGCGCCTCCAGCGGCTCCCGGCGCGCGGAGACCGCGCTCCCCTTGCTCTCGTCAGCCGCAAATGCTCGTCGGCGCGGTGCTGCCGCAGCGACGCGGCAGAGGCTGTGACGTCACAGCCGCAGGCCTGCCCCCGGGCGGCGCGGCGGCGGGGCGGGACTTCCGGGTCCTCGGGGCTTCCGGAGCCTCGCCCGCGGGGACTCCGTATTGCGGCGCCGCCGGTGTCGCTCGGCTGGGGCTGCGGCCGGCCTCCCCGCGTGGCTGCTGCTCGCGGGTCCTGCGGAAGCCCAGGAGGATCGCGAGCGTGGGCTGCGGCACAGAGAGGGAAACCTCGACACAAGTTAGAGACCCAACAGGGGGCAGCCCGGGTGACTCGGCTGTTTAGCGCCGCCTGCAGCCCAGGGCGTGACCCCGGGTCGCAGGATCCACTCCCACCTTGAGCTCCCTGCATGGAGCCTGCTTCTCCCTCTGCCCGTGTCTCTGCCTCTCTCTCTCTCTCTGTCTCTCATGAATAAATAAATAAAATCTTAAAAGAAAAAAAGAAAAGACTCAACGGTCATTTTAAAAATGCTTCCCGGGGCCCCTGGGTGGCTCAGCAGTTGAGCATCTAACTTGGCTCAGGTCGTGATCCCGGGTCCTGGGATCGAGTTCTGCATCCAACTTCCTGCGGGGGGGGGGGGGGGTCTTCATAGGGAATTACCGGATCAGGGCGGTTTCCCCGGGAATCCGGTGTGAGCTGCCCTGCAAGGCCCTGGGTCTCTAGCCTCCAGCCTCAGGACCAGCGCTGCCACCGGCCATCCAGGACATTTTTTTTTTTTTTTTTTTTTTGCATTCAAGTCTTGTTACTGAGTATCAACGTCCGTACCCAATTTTTGGAAAAGAGATTCTTGGAAAAAGGAAAGGGAGGGAGAGGCTTCAAGAATGAGGAAGAGAAAAATTTGTTCAGTTCAAGGTCAAGATTTGATGAACCATTACTGTCACCGTCTTCAGTTCCATCCATTTCTATGGCGGTTTCATAGGACTTGGGAAGACAAACTACAGGATTGCCTCGATTCTGGGGCTTAGCTGTCACATGCATCATTTGTAATGTACTCCTGTACTATTAAATTCCAATCTAGAGCAACCAAAACTACGAAAGAAGTAAAAAAATATTTTAGTATTTTGTGCACTCTGGAATGAGTTTTCCACTTTGATACTAAATTCTTGTGCTGACAACTGATCCTACTGTTTTGAATTCTATGAAAAAAGTAGGTTTTGGGGATGCCTGGCTGGCTCAGTTGGTAAAGCATGCAACTCTTAATCCCATTTGAGCTTGAGCCCCACATTGGATGTAGAAATTACTTAAAAATTTTTTTTTAGGGATCCCTGGGTGGCGCAGCGGTTTGGCGCCTGCCTTTGGCCCAGGGCTTGATCCTGGAGACCCGGGATTGAATCCCACATCGGGCTCCCGGTGCATGGAGCCTGCTTCTCCCTCTGCCTGTGTCTCTGCCTCTCTCTCTCTCTCTCTCACTGTGTGCCTATCATAAAAAAAAAAAAAATATATTTAAAAAAAAGTAGGTTTGGGCTAGAGAAAATACAGGGATTAAATAGACTCATCCCTAGCATTTATGAATAAAGCCCAGAGACAGAGTTACTGTTTAATGGTTACAGAGTTTATTTTCAGACTGACTGTAGTGATGGTTGCACAGTGTTATGAATGTATCTAATACGCTGAACTGTCCGCTTAAAATGATTAAGATGGTAAATTTTATGCATATTTTACCGCAATAAGAAAAATTTTTGAAAAACAACAAAAACTAAATAAAAGAAAAGTAATAAAAGTCAGGCTTGAGTTCTTGAGGAAATGTTGCATAGATGTGGAGGTAGAGAAAAATATCACTGTGCATGAATACAATCTTTGAGGTGTTTTGGGTTTGCTAAGCCATTCAGGTTGGCTGCATGGTTTCCAGAGGGAGCCAAAGCAAGGAGGCATGGGCCCGTGATAGAGAGCTTTGGGAACTTTTGTTTTGTTTTAATGTGAATTCAGAAATCTTTGGTTGTCATCCACTTGTCCATGATATCAACACCTCAGCCTAAAATTGCAGGCTCCTTAATATGGTACCAACCTGCTTTTCCCTGTGGAATCTCCCATTATCCTTTTTTTTTAAAGATTTATTGATGATTGATTGATTGATTGATTAGAGAGAGGCGGGAGAGAGAGAGGTTCATGCGCCTGTGTGCACGGTGGGGGAGGGGCACAGAGAGTGCGATAAACTCCAGCCAACTGTGCTCAGTGTGGAACCCGTTTCAAAGCTGGATCCCATGACCCTGAGATCATGACCTGAGCCAAAACCAAGAGATGACACCCAACCAACTGAGCCACCCAGGTGCCCCTCTCCCATTATTCTTTTAAAGATTGAACTATGATCTAGTTGCTGGCGTCCAAATCTTGTGCTTTCAGACCATTGTCTGAAATCTTTTTTTTTTTTTAAAGATTTTATTTATTTATTCATAGACACACAGAGAGAGGTAGAGACACAGGAAGAGGGAGAAGCAGGCTCCATACAGGGAGCCTGATGTGGGACTCGATTCAGGGTCTCCAGGATCACACCCCAGGCTGCAGGCGGCGCCAAACCACTGCGCCACCGGGGCTGCCCCCATTGTCTGAAATCTTAATTCATTTTAATGAATTACTTTGTTGCTTTGCCTACTTGAAGGATCAACTCAATGTACTTCCTCCAGGAAATATTTCTTAACCACACAGTGATAGCCCTCCTCTGAACTCACCCAATCGTATATTGCCTAGTGATACTGGTTTTTATTATAGTCTTATCTTCTAAGACTTGCATTTTGACTTCTGTGTTCAGGTATTTATGTGTATTTATGTCTGTGTAGTAGATCCATATTATATGTTTCCTCAGGTTTCCTTGGCATTGTTTACTTTCTGAACCCACAGTCCCTGTTCTGCCCGGGACTGACCTGTTGCATTTCTAGACTCTCTGGCTCTTCCTATCACTTCTGGACTCCAATGAAACACTGCGCTGAGCAATGCAGGCACTGGATTTCCACTGACTGGGAGGGCTTAGATGATGCATCTTGGAAGTATGGTGGGAGGGTCACTCCCCATAGAACAAACTTTGGCCCACTGGAAACCGTAGACGAAGCAAGCATGACAGAGAAATACCCTTTCCATCTACCTTCCAAGGCATGTTTTCTCTAAACAGTATGCCTGGAGAGGACAAGACAGTGAGTGCATTTTTTTTAAGATTTTATTTTATTTATTTATTTTTTTAAGATTTATTTATTTATTCATTCAGAGAGAGCGAAGAGAGGCAGAGACACAGGCAGAGGGAGAAGCAGGCTCCATGCAGGAAGCCCGATGTGGGACTCGATCCAGGGTCCCCAGGATCACACCCCGGGCTGCAGGCGGCGCTAAACCGCTGCGCCACCGGGGCTGCCCAAGATTTTATTTTTAAGTAATCTCTACACCCAACATGGGGGTCGAACCTACAACCTTGAGGTTAAGGGTCAAATACTCTACCAAGTGAGCCAGCCAGGAGCTCCAAGACTGGGTACACTTATCTGCCAAACAAGCTGCTGTGTCTCATGTTACCTCATTTTGGTTGATCTGAATTTGTACCTCCCAAATAAAACACGCACGCACTTAACCTTTACCTAGAAGACAGGGTCCACATTTTTAAATGTTTCTGTTATTCTCAGCACCTAGCACCTGGCATTGGTGTTCAATAAATATACCTTCTTAATTTTTTAAGATTTTATTTTTAAGTAATCTCTGTACCCAACATGGGGCTCAAACCTACAGCCCTGAGATCAAAAATCACATGCTCTATCAACTGAGCCAGCCAGGGGCCCCAATAAATATTTTCATATATAGTCAGTGTCTAAGAGTTCCCTTTCCAGTGTAAAATAACTGTGGTAGTGTACCAGAGTGAAAATGCACAACATACAGTATATATTAGGTGTCTTTATTGGGTTTTTTTTTTTTTGCCTTTTAATATATAGTACATTCACATGGTTCAAAATTCAAAATGTACAAAAGGGATTGAGAGTGAGAATTTCTCCTACCTTTGACCTCTAGCCTCTTCATTTTTCTCCCTGAGACAACCAATGTTCTTACTTTGTAACATATCTCTCCAGAAGCAGCTTATGAAATTTATGGATATATTAGCTGTGTGTGTGTGTGTGTGTGTATTTATTTTTGCCCTTTTTTTCCACTTAACAATATATCAGAAATATTTTAAAATAACGCATCTTGGTGATAGCTCCACATCATTCTCTTCATTCTCTTATATTGCTACACAGAAAGTATCCACTATATCAATTTATCATATTTTGTTTGGGCTCCCTCACTTTTGCTATAAAAATTAACCTGTAATACATTGTACATACATCGTCTTCCCCAGTTTACAAGATAAACTACTAGAAAAAGAATCTCTTGGTCATCAAAGTTAGTTTTTGACAGATGGTATCAACTCTTTCAGGGAGGACTTCGGCTCTTCGGGAGCACTCACTGCTTTCCCCTTCTCAACGACCTGAACAGCCCTCAGCAAAACGCCCTGCAGAGACTGGTTCTTTACCATGTTAGTGATCAGGACACTGACATCTCTGATATACATGTGCCTCACCTTAGCAACATAGTATTCCGTCTTGTTACCATGTGCAATAAAGAAGGTGCAAAGTGCCCTGATATCTCCTTCCTGCAGCCCGCACTCCTCCAGGACAGACTCCCACACAGCTCTAATGCGCCCGTTCTTGACTTTTCGTCTTAGGACAGAGGCCAAGGTGGGAAGACCTCTCACCAGGTCTGGCAGCTTCTCAACCACATGGGTGTGCAAGCAGACGAGTACATCAATAACGTAGCTGTGTAAAATATTCAGTTCCATTGAAGTGAATCTACAAAAAATGTGGAGAGCTGCTCATCAGTAGGACTCTTGATGTACAAACATACAGTGAATTCCATCAGGATACAAACCCACTACAAGAACCAGTTGTTGTATTTTAGAAAATACTTACTTTAGAAAGGGCCTACACTACGCTGGATAGCTTATTTCTCAGGCCACTCACACTACACATTTCTCAGTGGCAGAGGAGTTACGTCAACCATCTCTGTGTTAGTAAGCTATTGGCAAACAAGAGACACTGATGAAATGCATATGGCAGTGCTGGCGTAGCTACAGGTGCTCAAATTAATCTTTTTTGAATGGATTAACATAAGGAAATAGGATTTCTTCACAATCCATTGAAATCCAAGATTAGCATGATCACTGCAAGCTCTCATGAAGCCACAAAATTCCACTGATTTCTCATTGGATACTCACTTGGGTGCCAGAACTGCTGTCCACAGCTCATCTTGGGCTGCCTGGCTTGCCAAAGCCTTGCTATGATGTTCAAATTTCTGCGTCAAACTATCCTTGATGAAGTCCAGTTCTTTAAACTGTGCTTCTAAAGCTTGGAGTTTGTGGTCTACTCTATAGATAAAAGAATCAAGGGGTACTTTAGGACAAGGGACAAAGCTAAGGTTTTGCCTAAGATAAGACTCTAATACATTGTTTATAACCACTATTAATTTGGGTAGTGAGGGCCCCTGGGTGGCTCAGCAGTTGAGCGACTGCCTTGGGCTCAACTCGTGATCCCGGAGTCCGGGAATCGAGTCCCACGTCGGGCTCCCTGCATGGAGCCTGCTTCTCCCTCTGCCTGTGTCTCTGCCTCTCTCTCTGTGTCTCTCATGGATAAATAAAATCTTAAAAAAAAAATTGGGGTAGCTATTTAAATTTAAGATTATGAGCAGATGTTCCTATTTGCCATTCTCTCTAGCCATCATCCTAGTTCTTATATTCCTTATATTGCCAATTCCCTTATATTGAATTGTCTAATTACTTGAATTATCTGCCACGACTTGATTTTGTGTTGTACTTTATACTTTACATAGTATTTTAGGGGCACCTGGCTGGCTGAGTCAGTGGAACATGCAACTCTTAATCTCAGGGTCTTGAGTTCAAGCCCCACATAGGGCTTGGAGCCTACATTTAAAAAAAAAAAAAGTACTTAAATACAAGCATTACTTTGATTCTCACAACAACCAGAAAAAGTGAAGCAGTCATTTTTATCATGTTGCAGGTAAAGGAATTGAGGGGCACCTGGTTGGCTCAGTTGGAAGAGCATGGGATTTTTGATCTCGAGGTAATAGTTCAAGCCCTACATTGGGTGTAGAGATTTTTTTTTTAATTTTTTATTAAATTGATTTATTCATGAGAGACACAGAGAGGGGGGAGAGAGAGAGAGAGAGAGAGAGAGGCAGAGACACAGGCAGAGGGAGAAGCAGGCTCCATGCAGGGAGCCCGATGTGGGGCTCGATCCCGGGATTCAGGATCATGCCCTGCGCTGAAGACGGTGCTAAACCCCTGAGCCACCTGGGCTGCCCCCGAGATTATTTTTAAAAATAGACTTCATAGATAAAGAAATTGAGTCTCCAAAAGATTGAGACCTAATGTCATGCTAGCTAGGTGCTGGGACCAGTATTTAATAAGGTGCACTTCTCTGGTCTGACTTCTGGAATCCTCTCCCACCTTCAAGGATAAGCTCATTTTCCACTATTCTCTTGAATCTACTAGACTTTATGCCTGGAGATCACCCTGCCTACTTAAGTTTCAGAGGGACCTCCTCCACTACCTGTCACTCCCTACCTCCTGCTTTATTTTTATTTAATTATTTTAGAGATTTTATTTATTTGCTTGACAGAGAGAAAGCAAAAGCAGAGGGAGCAGCAAGCAATGGGGAGAGGGAGAAGCAGGCTTTCCTGCTGAGGAGAGAGCCCTACATGGAGCTCGATCCCAGGACCCTGGGATTATAACCTGAGCCAAAGGCAGATGCTTAACCAGTGAGCCACTCAGGCCCCCTCTGCTTTATTTTTAGGATTACCGTTTCATGAATGAATTGTGAGCTGTTGGGGGGAATCAGAGACTATTTCTTGGCCATCCTTATACCTGTCCCCCAATACCTAGCAAAGGTCTTAGACAGAAGTAATAAAATATGTCTCATATGATCAACATCTATGATGTGAATGAGATGCCAAGCTGTGTAACCCAACATGGGCATTTGGATAGCTCTGAACAGGCTTAATCATCAGACAGTGCTGTGACACCAGAATTATGTCAAACTGAATCACAAAGAACTGAAACAACACAACTCACTTGCCTGAATTGTTTTTCGTGAAAGTGGTATACAAATACACATACCACTTCCTTGAGCTTCTATATCCTCAGGGACCTGAATGCTGTTGTGGCTGCCCAGGTTCTGTCTTTGGCCATCTTCTCTTCTTGCTCCTCACTTTATCTCAAGGCTAATTTAGTTTCAGGTACCAGCTCTCTCCTAAGCACTAGACCTGTATCTTTATGTTTTGTGCATCTCCACCTGGATGGAGGTGTCAAACTCTCCTGTCTTAAACTGAACCTACTATCTCTCCCCCTCTCTCATCTTCAGAAATTACTATGGTGGTATTTACTCACTGTTTTGGGTATTTTGTTTACATATAGATAAGGCCCACTACGAAATGTGTGGTGTTTCATAGGAGTGTAAGTCTGCATGACCTAACATGCCAGCAATCTCTGTTTACATGTCAAAACAATGTCATCTGGCATACTGCTTGTGTTAACTTTGACATCTTTAAGACTATATTGAAAAAAAAAAAGACTATATTGCTTATAGGTCATCTCTAGCTTGAACTCTAGAGAGGAGCTCTAGTTTCTCAGTCAGTATAGGAGTTCACAATTGTTAACAGTTCTTTGGAAGGCTCTGACCAAAAGACATTCCCACACCATTCCAAATAAATCCTAAACAACATGTCTGCAAATCCAAGTCTGTTTTCTACTATAATTCCCCAGGTTTGTTAGTGGACATCACCATCAATTGCTTTAAACTAGAGATCTCAGAATAATTTTGACCTTTGTTTTCTTCCTCTCCATTAATGCTTCTAAACTATCCCTTCCTCTCCATCACCACTAAACCAGGTAATAACTATCTTTCATTTTGACCTAGGATTACAAATCCTTGCTTTCAATTTCTGCTACCTCTAATCCATCCTCTAGAAATATGCTTCTAAAACACAATTCTGGGACGCCTGGGTGGCTCAGCGGCTGAGCGTCTGCCTTCAGCTCAAGGCATGATCCCAGGATCCGGGATCGAGTCCCACATCAGGTTCCTTGCAGGGAGCCTGCTTCTCCCTCTGCCTGTGTCTCTGCCTCTCTCTCTGTGTCTCTCATGGATAAATAAAATCTTTTTATTTTTATTTTTTTAAATAAAATCTTTTTTAAAAATAAAATAAAACACAATTCTGATCATGTAACTCAACTGATTATCTATGTTATCCACTGATAGTTAGAGCCAAACTAGATATCCTCAGGAAGATAAACATAAAGCCCTTAGCCCTTTGCTCCCATCTTTTGCCACTCATCTCGTATCCTTTTTTAAAAATTTTATTTATTTATTCATGAAAGACAGAGAGAAGCTGAGACACAGGCAGAGGGAGAAGCAGGCTCCATGCAGGGAGCCCAATGTGGGTCTTGATCCTAGGACTCCAGGATCACGTCCTGGGCCAAAGGCAGACGCCAAACCACTGAGCCACCCAGGGATCCCTCATCTCGTATCTTTTTTTTTTTTTTTTCATCTCGTATCCTAATCATGAATCACGAGAGACATCTAGCAGTGCACTGAACACAGCATACGATTCCAGGCTTCTGTGGCTTCCATATAGTATGTACAGTTCCTCAGCCTAGAATTCCTTCCCATATTTCTCTTTCTCATAACCTGTTATTCACACTTTAAGATCCAGCTTAATTGTCTCTCTGGGAAGGGTTCCTTTTCCTAGTGTACAAGGCAAATTTAATTGATCCTCTCTTCATGTTCTCATGGCCCTTTAGGAATATCACCATCATGTCAATCACATTAAATTCTAACTATTTTTGAAGTTTTCTGTTATCCCTATAGGCTTTGAGCACCTTGAGGACAGAAACCATATTTTACTTATTTTGTATACCTAGAATATAGCACATGCATTAATTGAATGGAATTCACCTGGGAGTAATTTTTTTAGATTATTACTTTATATATATTTTTAACCTGGAAGACTTAAACCACTTTAAACAGAGACAGAATTCTGATCAGCAGGCCTGTAGTTCTTTGCCTAGTTTTATTCTTTATTTTTCTCTTACCCATCTTCCCAAAAAAGCAGACCTATGCTTGTTCCCGCCCTGTAGCCCTTAGGAACCTTTTCATTGCCTTCTTCAAGGATATCAGGGTTGTGGTTTCATTGTTCATCTTCTTAAAGCAAAATGAAAGAAAACAAAACAAGGAAAACAAAAACCTAAGGGAGGTTTGAATCCAGGGTTTTCTGCTGTCTTCCACTCAGCAACAGGCAGCAGTAGTATGAGTATTTGATCTAAATTCTGCCTGAAAGGTCACTCAGTGCAAGAAGCTTTTAATAGCTTGTACATCCAAATATAGTTTCAAAGAGCTGATCATGCGAACACAGGTGTCCTAGAACGCACTATAATATTTGCTTTTGTAAAGTGAACTGTAAGTACATCAACATAGCAAAACAATCAGATATAATCATGGCTCTATGTGTATTCTGATAAATGTATATATGGATATACAAATATATACATATACTAGGATTAAATTTGATGAAAAAATTACTCAACCTAGTCATCCTTAGAAACTAGTAAATATTTATTGAGAGCTTCTGCTATTAGATTAAGTATTGAAAGTAATAGACGGGGGGCACCTGGGTGGCTCAGGCTATTAGGTATCCTACTCTTGATTTTGGCTCAGGTCATGATCAGTTGTGAGATAGAGCCTAGAGCTGGGTGTGGGGCCTCCTTAAAATTCTGTCTCTCGGGATCCCTGGGTGGCGCAGCAGTTTGGCCCAGGGTGCGATCCTGGAGACCCGGGATTGAAACCCACGTCGAGGGATCCCTGGGTGGCGCAGCGGTTTGGCGCCTGCCTTTGGCCCAGGGCGCGATCTGGAGACTCCGGATCGAATCCCACGTCGGGCTCCCGGTGCATGGAGCCTGCTTCTCCCTCTGCCTATGTCTCTGCCTCTCTCTCTCTCTCTCTCCTCTGTGTGTGTGTGTGACTATCATAAAATAAATAAAAAAAAAAAATTTGAAACCCACGTCGGGCTCCCGGTGCATGGAGCCTGCTTCTCCCTCTGCCTATGTCTTTGCCTCAATCTCTCTCTCTCTCTCTGTGACTATCATAAATAAATAAAAATTAAAAAAAAAATTCTGTCTCTCTCTCTAAAAATAAATACATACATACATAAATAAATAAGAAAATAAAAACAGATATAAAACAAGTCTCCTGGGCCAGCCCGGGTGGCTCAGTGGTTTAGCACCGCCTTCAGCCCAGGGTGTGATCCTGGAGACCCTGGATCAAGTCCCGTATGGGGCTCCCTACAGGGAGCCTGCTTTTCCCTCTGCCTGTGTCTCTGTCTCTCTGTGTGTCTCTCATGAATAAATAAATAAAACCTTTAAAAACAAATAAAAATATGGGAAGAGGATGTGGAAGTGGTATCTGCACTCCTTACAGCATTACTCACCATAGGCAAGATATGGAAATGGCCTAACTGTCCAGAAAGAAGGAAATTCTGCTGTTGTATCAATATGGATGGACTTTGAGGGCATTATGCTAAATGAAATGAGCCCAACAGAGAAAAACAAATACTGCAGCGTATCACTTACTATATGTGGAATCTAAATAAAAAGTCAAACCCAGAAACAGAAAAGTAGAAAAGTGGTTGCCAAGGGTTGTGAGTGGGGGAAATAGGAGTCTGGCAAAAGCGTAAGGAAAAAAAAATTCAAAACAAAACAAAAACTTGTCACCAAAGTAACCTCCCCTACAATCATTCCATTGCTGGTGTACTTATTGTAAGGAGTAACTTTGCCTTATTGATTAAGCCTTTTGCAGTTGGGCTTCTTTTTTTTTTTTTTTTTTAAAGATTTTATTTATTTATTCATGACCGACACAGAGAGAGAGAGGCAGAGACACAGGCAGAGGGAGAAGCAGGCTCCACACAGGGAGCCTGACGCAGGACTCGATCCCAGGTCTCCAGGATCACACCTCGGGCCAAAGGCAGTGCTAAACTGCTGGGTCACCGGGGCTGCCCAAGTTGGGCTTCTCTTAGGGAGTTAACAGTTCAGTGAAGGATACGTTATATATCAGGTTCCTCGTTGCTGAGATTTCTCCTGAAACCCTTCATTAGTTTTTTTATGGGTAGATCAGTGGCCAGAACCTTGACAAGAAAATAAAACAGAGAAGGAAGGAGAGAATGCTGAACACTCATTTAACTTGGTATCTCAGAATAAGGCATTGGGGACCCCGCCCCCAGAAAAATGTTGCGAGCAGGGCAAAGCATAAAAAGTTCTGCTTGGGGTAAGAGCCTACCAACTCGGACCCCCGGGTGGCTCAGCGGTTGAACGTTCACCTTTGGCTCAGGGCGTGATCCCGGGTTCCCGGGTTCGAGTCCCACATGGGGCTCCTTGCATGGACAAGGAGCCCGCTTCTCCTTCTTCCTATGTCTCTGCCTCTCTGTGTGTGTGTGTCTCATGAATAAATAAATAAAAATAAAATCTTAAAAAAAAAAAAAAGAGCCTACCAATTCCACCCGCCAGTGTTGTTTCCTCTAGGTGCTGCCTGCCTATGGAGATCCAGTGTTTGTTCCCTTCTCCCAGCTTGCACTTGTCTATGCAGAGCTAAACAATACCTGCTGATCACTCCATCTTTGATTGCCTGATTTCCTTTTCTCTGTCCAAACTCGTAATTTCCTGATCTCATCTGCCAGGCTCATCTTTCAGGCCCTCCCCTGTCATACTGCCTTTCAAACTTTTTTTTTTTTAAATAGTGAACTTTATTTTTTAGAGCAGTTTTAGGTAAAAGTACAGAAGGTATATCCCTGCCCTCATAGAGGCCCCACCTCCCCAGCTACAGACATCCTGCACCACAGTGGTTACATTAGTTATTTCTGATAAACTACACTGTCTTGTCATTATCACCCAAAGTGCACAGTTTACGTTAGGGTTCACTCCTGACTTTGTCCATGCTACGGGCTTTGACAAATGTATAATAACGTGTATCCACCATTGTAGTATCACACAGAAGAGTTTCACTGTCTTAAAAATCCTCTATGCTCTGTGGATTCATCTCCCCTGTCATATAGCTGGAAACATACAGTATGTAGGTTTCTCCGATTGCCTTCTTTCACTCATACTATGCATTTCAGTTTCCTCCATGTCTTTTCACGGTTTGATAGCTCAGTTCTTTTTAAGGCTGAATAATATTTCATTGTTCAGATGTACCAGTTTCTTTACTCACTCACCTACTGAAGGAATCTTGAATATTTCCAAGTTTTGGCAGTTATTAATGAACCTGCTATAAACATTCGAGTGCACATTTTTGTGGGGGCATAAATTTTTGGTCTATTTGAGCAAATAACAAGAAGCATGATTGCTGGATTGCATGGTAAGAGTATGTTTGTAAGAAACTGTCCAACTGTCTTCCAAAGTGGCTGTACCACTTCGCATTTCCACCAGCAGGTAGTGATAGTTTTTGTTGCTCTGCATCCTTGCCAGCATATTGGTGTTGTCACTGTTTTGGATTTTGGCCATTCAAATAGGTGTATATTGTATCTTGTTGTTTTAGTTTTTAAAAAATATTTTATTTATTTATTCATGAGAGAGAGAGACGCAGAGACACAGGCAGAGGGAGAAGCAGGCTCCCTGCAGGGAGCCTGATGTGGGACTCGACCTGGACTGCAGGATCAGGCCCTGGGCTGAAGGCAGGCACTAAACCCCTGAGCCACCTGGGCTGCCCGCTTTTTCAGGTTTTTTTTTTTTTTAAACATTTTTTAAAAATTTGTATTTATTTATGATAGTCACACACACAGAGAGAGAGAGAGAGAGAGAGGCAGAGGGAGAAGCAGGCTCCATGCACCGGGAGCCAACGTGGGATTCCATCCCGGGTTCCCAGGATCGCGCCCTGGGCCAAAGGCAGGCGCCAAACCGCTGAGCCATCCAGGGATCCCTTTTTCAAGTTTTTAAAAAAGATTTTATTTATTTATTTGACAGAGAATAAGAGAGAGAGAGAGAACACAAGCAGGCCAAAGTGGCAGGCAGAGGGAGAAGATACAGACTCCCCGCTGAGCAGAAAGCCCAACATGGGGCTCTATTCCAAGACCCTGGGACCATGGCTTGAGGTGAAGGCAGACACTTAACTGACTGAGCCATCCAGGCACCCCTGTTACCGATTTTTCAAATATTTTCTCCCAAAAACCTTTTATAACAAAGCTGCATCCTGGATTCCTGCCTGCTTTCTGTTGCAGGGTATTGATCTTTAAAAGAATGCTGTGCTCAAAAGCGGAACAGCGGTGCCAAGAAATAGATGGTACTCTGCTCTGCTGGAACAAACATCTAAAGCAGCAGATATTTGCATTTATTACAGAGCTGAATCAAGTACTAACAATGGAATACTTTGAGCACCATACTTTGAGTGCTGAATTCAAAATACAGGTACTAATAGAGTCATATTATTTCCAGAGGCTTCTAACTCAGAGAAAAGATCCAGGAGTTTGTGCCAGAGATTACGTTATACACAGAGGGAACTTACTGCTTAACGGTACTCTGGCAGGTTCCTTCCTTTCTCTGTCTCATTTTTCTACTTCTGTACTATATGTACTTCCTGGAATGACTTCAATTCTCATTTGCACAATTTTGGAAATTTGTACAATTCTCATCTTAGGTCCTGCTCTAGGGTAAGCTAAATTAAGACTACACCCTTACTGTCTGTGTCACATTTCTTGTTCAAGTATTAATCTCAGAGAACTTTAGCAGACTCTACCGGATAGATCAGCTATTAATCCCAAAATTTGTGTTAGTTTCGATTTTATTTTACACATATAGGTATAGTCATAGGTAGTGGAGTTCTTATGGAAGCTTCCATTAAGGAAATGCTAAAAAAAAACAAAAACAAAAACAAAAACATACAAATGGCTTACCTACTTCAAATCCACTGAATTTTTAAAAATTAATAGGACATTTTGTTTTTATTTTTTAAAGATTTATTTATTTATTCTAGAAAGAGAGAAGGGAGGTGCAGAGAGAGAAAATCCTGAAGCTGACTCCCCACTTAGTGTGGAGTCTGTGGACTCTATACCATGACCCTGAGATCATGACCAGAGCTGAAATCAAGAGACGGTTGCTTAACCTACTGAGCCACCCAAGCACTCAATTAATAAGACACTTTAAAAATTGAAGTATAACATATACACAGAAAGCTGTATATCATAAGCTTAATGACTATGATGTGATATAATAAGAGATTTATATTTGATCTTTGTCCCAGTTCTGCACACAGAGCTAATAAAACTCATGTCACTTCCTAAGTGATAAGAACCATAAGAGCATCTAT